CTGAAATATGTGGTTCTTTCTCTTCCCTTTCTTTTTCAAATTGATGGCATCTTATCTTGCAGTGACAAAGAATGGGGAAATGGAATGGGCGATAGGCCATTGGGCCATCACCTCACTGCAGACCACCTAATAGAAGACTGTCTCCTGGGCAAGGAATTTCTATACTATTGTATTAGACAATATTTGAAAATGCATGAATTATATTGTAAGAGCCATTCAAAACTTTCTACAAAAACATATCTTTATAATAATGAAGTTTTCATTTATAACCAAAATAAAAAATTTCTTAAAACTCATTACAACAAGTTTGTGAAAAGAGTGTTTTTTTTTGTTTTGTTTTGAGACAGAGTCTTGCTTTGTCACCCAGACTAGTGTGCGGTGGCGACATTTTGGCTCACTGCAACCTTTGCCTCCAGGGTTCAAACAATTCTCTTGCCTCAGCCTCCCAGGGTAGCTGGGATTACAGGCATGCGCTACCATGCCCTGCTAATTTTTGTATTTTTAGTAGAGAGGGATTTCACCATGTTGGCCAGACTAGTCTCGAACTCCTGACCTCAGGTGATCTTCCCTCCTTGGCCTCCCAAAGTGCTGAGATTACAGGTGTGAGCCACGATGCCTGGCCAGAAGAGCATATTTCTGATGAATGCTTTCTATCAAATTCATTCATAAATATTTGGATTCCCCCGACCCAGAAAGCAACTACTCACTTGAAATTCTACAGAATTGTGTATGAGATTAGGTATGAACGTGTATGTATATTTTAGGAAATGTGTCAAATGCAGAAAAACACAAATAAATGGCTACTAATACTCAAAATGGAGAGTTGTCCACATTATTATATTTGCTTCATTTATTCTAACACATCACGTAAAAGTAAACATTTTTTACTTCTAAATGGCCAGTCTACTACAACCAACCTTTACAAACACTGAGATTTTGTGCTATTTATTAATTAATTCATTTATTTTTTGAGCCAGGGTCTCACTCTGCTACCTAGGCTCAAGGGGAGTGATGCTGTAATAGCTCAATGCAGCTTCAACCTCCCCAGGCTCAGGTGACCCTCCCACCTCAGCCTCCAGGGTGGCTAGGACTACAGGCGCATGGCACCATGCCTGGCTAATTTTTGTACGTTTCGTAGAGATGGGGTTTTGCCATGTTGCCCAGGCTGCTTTTATTTTCTAGTAAATCGTAGGAGTTTAATAAATAAGATGTCTTTTTTGATACTCTTTCCCCAAAAAATAAAAAATCAAGTTTATTTTCTTCTAGTATCTTTATACTTTAATATTAAAAATATCATTCTGAATTAGCCTTTTTACTTCCACACATTGTTGACCAGCATTCTTTAAGCATAGAGAAATCTCAATATGTTGTTTCAAACGCAGAAGCACTTTCAGTTAATACAGGCACAGAATTCCATTATCAATGTTTTCCACATTTTGGCTTAAAAACATTAAGATCCATTTTTTTTAAAACTTTAGACTGCGGATGTTTGGACTTTTCTATGTAGTTCTGGATTTCTGAATTTTATACAAAACATGGCTCTGAAAAAAGTAAAATAACTAATAGAATTAATTAAATGAAGAAGGACACAAGAATAATTCGTCAATCTAAAAAGAATAAAGTATCGCTATTGACTTCCGCATGTGCATCACAGGATAAAGTAAATGGGAGTTACTGGCCAACACTGGGAACTTGGATTTTTGGCCAGAGAGGAAGGAGAAATAAAAGGTAAGTCACAAGAATGGTAAAGATTGTTTGTGACCAGCTTGGGCAACTAAGTGAAACTCCATCTCTACCAAAAAATAAAAAATAAAAACTAGCCAGCCATGGTGGTACATGCCTATAGTCCCAGCTACATGGGAGGCTAAGGTAGGAGGATCACCTGAGCCTGGGGAGGTTGAGGCTGTAATGAGCTGTGATTTTGCCACTGCATTCCAGCCTGGGTGACAGAGTGAGACAATGTCTCCAAAAGAAAAAAGGTAAAGATGATAGATTGTATATATATATTCTACCTGAATAAGTAAATTTCCATTTCTAGCTTCTTAAAAGTCTTAAATATAAAAACCTACTTAACACTAACAACCACCGTTAGTACCCAAATAGTGGTTTCTAAATATTATCTCCTCTTTACCATAGGAATTAGGGCTCTGATATGGTTTGGTTGGGTCCCCACCAAAATCTCAACTTGCATTGTATCTCCCAGAATTCCCATGTGTTGTGGGAAGGAGCCAGGGGGAGGTAATTAAATCATGGGGGTCCTCTATGCTATTCTCCTGACAGTGGATAAATCTCACGAGATCTGATGGGTTCATCAGGGGTTTACGCTTTTGCTTCTTCCTCATTTTTATCTTGAGGCTGCCATGTAAGAAGTGCCTTATGCCTCCCGCCATGATTCTGAGGCTGCCCCAGCCATGTGGAACTGTAAGTCCAATTAAACCTCTTTTCCTTCCTATTTTTGAGCACGTCTTTATCAGCAGCATTAAAACAAACTAATATAGGCTCTTTGGAGAAATGGCTGATTCCAGTTCTGGACAAGGAATATACAACATGCTTGGCCAGGAATATCTTGTAATTAAAGAAAAAAAGTCAAACCATTGGCCGGGCCTAGTGGCTCACGCCTGTAGTCCAAGCACTTTGGAGGCCAAGGTGGGCGGATCACCTGAGATCGGGAGTTCAAGACCAGCCTGACCAACATGGTGAAACCCCATCTAAACCATCACCATCAAATCTTTTGTTTACATGCTAGCTAATTATTATTTTTTAAACCTGATGAATATAGGCAAAGAATCAAGAATTTATCTTAATCTTTGCTGTAATGACTATATATACTTCAGGATAACCGAATAGTTAATAAAGGTAAGTTTCTTCTTACAGAAATCTTTTCAAATCTTAAACCTGAATGTAAGAAACCTTCTAGATCTAACTACAACTTATAAGAAATAGAGGGTACAGAAAAATGCAATGAAGCAAAATCCAGGGCAGAGGAACCGCTATGGCAGGTGTCCCCAACCTTTTTACACAGGGGGCCAGTTCACTGTCCCTCAGACCGTTGGAGGGCCACCACATACTGTGCTCCTCTCACTGACCACCAATGAAAGAGTTGCCCCTTCCTGAAATGCCTGCTGGATAAATGGCCTCAGGGGGCTGCATGCGGCCCACGGGCCGTAGTTTGGGGATGCCTGCTCTGTGGGGTAAACTATCTGGTTTCTTCAAAGGATGAATCATGAAGAAAGAGAGAGACAGGAAATCTCTATGTCAAAAGTTATTGATTAATGGAAATGCATAGATCTCATTTTGATCCAGTTTCTTAAAAATAAACTGTAAAACAGGAAGCATTTGTGAGACAACTGAAGAAATCTAAAATTTAATGGGAATGAATTATTAATTTAGAGTTTACAATATTATGTTTATTTGTTTTTAAAGAGTACTTAATCGTTAGCCATGGTATGATTTTAATAAGAATTATTTCAGTCTCTATTATTAATAGTTCAAAATAATTTAGGGATGAGAAACAAGGTAAGCAAGATTAAATGAAGTAAGATCAGCCAAGTGTCGACAATTGTTTAACCAAGGATGGGGTGCAGGGGAGTCATTGTACTTTTTTTCTTATAAGTGTTAAAATCTAAAATAACAAAAGATAAAGGTTCAAGTAATATTGAAAAATCAGTAAAATGATGAAAGCCTTCATTAGGATAGAGATTCCCACACAAATATCAAAATACCTAAGGTGAGGCATACTCTGTCAATCTTACATATAAATAAAAATGAAAATGGTTCTTCATATTATAGGGAATTATGACCTGATAGAGATTGAACTGGAAGGATCCAAATCATGAGTACTTCAAACCTAGATCCTTACAAATTGCACTGAAATAAAAAGTATATTCAGTACTGGTGAGCAAGTGGGTGTTTCAGATGCAGGGATTCAACATTATGGGAATGCACAGATCATAAGAGTTTAATGGAAATACTTCTTCCTACTTGGTCATTTTTAATAAACTTTAAGTGACTAACAAAGCTTTAATGATAACATCCATCTCTGCTTAGAAGTAGAACAGTTAATATATAATATGAAAGAGTACAAATGAGTATTTATAAATATGAAAATGAATAGTTTTATGTTTCATAGTATATCTACATTTACTCCCCTCCTGTTCTTGCCCAAGCCTAGTTATAAACTTGCTGGTTTTGACAAGCAAAACAGAAAGAGAACAGGTGCCTTTGTTAGCACTCTAGGTAAATTCTGGCACTTGCTTGGACACCAGCTGTGTGCTAATTAGTCTTGTGATTGCCTAGATCACCAAAGAATACAAGACTGAAAATGCTTCTGAAAGCTTCTGAAGGAACAAGTCTGCACACCGGCTGACAGATGCCCTGGAGAGAACAGGCCTTATTCTGACAGCCTCTGTGTTGAGTTCTTTCACATTTACAAAGCCAGAGCTGGTTACATAAAACACATGCCTGCAAGTCAGTTCAGTGAATGAGGGTGATGGGTGCTTTTGAGGCTGCAGAGCAAAAGCATTCTCTGGTCTAGCAATCCTGACACAGACAGATGTCCGGTGTCTGGTCTGTGCCTAAGTGCTATCTTTTAATTAAGTGTTAGCAACAGCACACCCAGGGTATTTCCACCTTGTTCTTCAGTAGACTTCAACAGGTTACTTTTGGGCCTTCCCATTTAACCTTTCATCTTTATTTAGCCAGTCACGATAATGAATTGATGTATTGCTTCTCATCCTAACAGATGAATCGGATTACTGCATGGCCAATTGGGACAGGACAGGAGATGGCCTGACAACTCCCAAAATATACAAGGTTGGGTACATCATGGCAAATGGTCACAGTGAAGGCTTTCTTTCTGAACATGACTTTATGTCCTCATCATATTCAATAATCAAAAATATCAAATTTAAAATCAAATGCGCAATCATTGCATTCTTTCAACAAGTGATAAAATGGGTACATTTTATTAGGAGAAAAAAAAAAAAAAAAAAACAACTTACCTGAAGACTGCAAGGGTCAGAGACCAGAGCACTAATGGCTTCCTCAGCTCAAACTTTGCTCGTTTGTTCATTAGGTGCCGACCACCAAATATAAAGGCAGCATACAGAGCAGAAAACAAGAAAGATTTCTTCCTGCAAACAAGCAAACAAAATCTTTAAGATATTTTTAGTCATTAGGAAACATCCAATTTTGTACCAGTTCTCCTCTTTGTAAGCACTGAAACAATATTCTTGAGAATAGGCCTGCTTCACTGAAGAGAGTCTAGTCCATGTGGCAAACTGGTATTCTGTTGAAATCTCCCTTGATAAATCAGGTCACCCAGCAGTTTAACCAACATGTGAAGTATCACGTCAGGATAGGTACATTTCCTTTGTGGGCTCTGTGACTGAAATTTCAACAACATACCATTGAAGTACAAAAAGGAGCCTTTTCACTGAGAGAACTAATTTTATTCTTTAGAGTTTGTTGAGCCAATTTAGATACATACATGAATTTTAAAAAGAAATGTTTTTATTGGAACTACTTAGTGACAAGGTTTCGTCTTGGAACAAGAAAGCCATTTAATATTTTATCTTGGGTGGGTGTGGTGGCTCATGCCTGTTATCCCAACACTTTGGGAGGCCAGGTGAGCAGATCACTTCAGGCCAGGAGTTTGAGATCAGACTGGCCAACATGGTAAAATCCCCTCTCTATTAAAAATACAAAATGTAGCCAGGCCTAGTGGCGAACACCTGTAATCTTAGCTACTCGGGAGGCTGAGGCAGGAGAACCCCTTGAACCTGGAAGGCGGAGGCTGCAGTTCCCCGAGATCACACCACTGCACTCTGGCCTGGGTGACAGAGCAGAGCAAAAAAAAAAGGTAAAAGAATAAAAGAATCGTTACTCCATAGGCAGAACAGTCCTGAGGGCTGCTGACTGGCTATTTTTATGGGTTTTTAAATTACATGCTAAACAAGGGGTGGATTATTCATGAGTGTTTCAGGGAAAGGGGCGGGGATTTTCCCAGGAACAGAACTGAGGGTTCCTTCCCTTTTTAGACTGTATACCACGGCATTTGTAAACTGTCATGGGGTTGGTGGGAGTGTCTTTTAGCATGCTAATGCATTATAATTAGCATATAATAAGCAGTGAGGATGATCAGAGGTCACTTTAATCACCATATTGGTTTGGGTGGGGTTTGGCCAGCTTCTTAACCTGCTTTATCAGCAGGGGCTTTGTGACCTGTATCTCCTATCTCATCTTGTGACTAAGAATTTCTGACTTCCTAGGAATGCAGTCCAGTAGGTCTCAGCCTCATTTTACTTAGCTCCTCTTTAAGATAAAGTCACTCTGGTTCAAATGCCTCTGACTATAGTACTGATAATGCCAAAAAATAAATTCAAAAGCAAAAATCAACAAGCTTCTATAATAGAACTATGATTTGACAGAAAGCAATAGAAGCCTTATAAATAATTGAAACAGTTGAGCATACTTCCTGAGAAAGCAATGTTTCTCTTAAAATGGGCCTTCCCTACTCAATTAGATCAGTAAGGGTTGAGAAATAAGTTACCAAACATAATATCAAAAGTGAAATCTGTTCACCTGATATTATTTGTAAAATGCTTCACATTTTCCCCCTTCATGCTGACATGTAATGCTGACAAGGGACCTTGCTATTTACACAAGCAACATGCCTATGTAAATGAATGCAAGTGAATACCATCGAATAAAGCAATTATTCCATAAATCAACCCAGAGATAAATGTTGAATAAATCACTTCCACTGAGGTTTATAGACTCTTCTGTTGGGCACACAGGACCTGGCACACAGTAGGTGCTTAATAAGTATCTGTTGAATGAACATGGTCTTGTCCTATAAAATTTTCTGATAGAGAAAATTAGGCATCTGTGTACAGTAAACAGGCAGCAAACACTAACTGAAAGTTGTATTTTTCCTTTAATATATTAATAACTAAAAAGTAAATTATTCAGTAAAATATTATGATACATTTTCTTCCCCCAGAAAGATGCTGAAATAAAGTTTTACCAAGTTAATGTAGGTGATAGTAATATGAAAATGTATATGCTTTTTTTCTAATTTATAAAGGTAGTAAGTGACAATAATCACATATTATGATTTATAGAGTGATTCCCATGGGCAGACATAATGCCAAAAAGTTTTACCATTTAATCCTCTTAATCACCTGATGGTGCAGGTATTAAGTATTTATCTTTATTTCATAGATAAACAGACTTAGAGGTAAAGTAGCCTTATATTTTCCTGTTCTTGTGGTAAATGTTCAGAAGAAAAAGGGGTACTTGATTTGTTATCTTAGAAGCTGTAAAAATTCCTTAAGCTGTCCTGTTGAATTACATAATCATTGCATAATGTGTAGAACATTGTTTAACTGTGAAAAGATCTTCATGTTTCCACTTTCACATTTTCTGAGCCTGGGAAACTTTCATCCAAACCGTTTTTCCTTCTTTGAGAACAGAAATTAATTATACATCTACCACTGAAGACGTTTCCTTAAAATTATCATTATTTATCTTACTCATTCAACATAATTGAGATTCTGATTATGGTTGTATTCACTGTATTACTCTCAATTATAAACAAACCAAGTTAAATGAATATCTTCATACAATCCTATCATTCTAGCCATACAGGGAAAAGTAATGCCTCAAGAACCAAGAAAAGAATAAAAAAATCTTCCCTATGTATATTTTATCTAATTTCCTCACTTCTAAAATGAGAATTGGTCCTAATGTACTGCTTACTTCCCTGCAAGGGTCACTCACTTTTCCACATGATTATTAGAGCTCTCTTTACAAAGCATCAATTCAACAGCGAAGGCAATGAAATCGATCAGTACAGAATCATAGAATCTGACAATTGCAAGGAACCTTAGAGGTGGAGCCCAATTTCGTCCTTTGACAGAACAGAGAATAGGGAGACCAGTGACACAAGTCACTCATGGTCACACAGCTGCAACTGTACTCTAGTCAAGACTATCCAGCATTGTCATGGCTGTGATCAAGCAGGTTGGTAAACACAAAATAACTGCATAAGCTGTATTTGGGTCACAGGCAGTTCACGGAAATTGGTTTAAGTGCTATGATCAAAGGAAGTTGTTCATTGCATGCACAAAAATTTTTTACTGTGGTGAAATTCAAATGCTTTGGGTTAGTTTAGAATTAAACCTAAGCATCTGCTCTAAGTGGGAGTTGCCTGAGGAAGCATTAACACCTCTTGGACTGAGTTATCACGTATGGTAGAATGTACTATTAGTTTTCCATGTTGCTTAGAAGACGAGATTTTCTTTAATAACAGGGAAATTTAAGTGAATTAAAATTGCCTTTCCTTTCTGGCATCTCTCTGGTAAAGTTCAATTATATTCAAGATGAATTGTGGTTTGCCACTAGCACACTTAGTTTTTAGTGTGGTTAGATTGCTTTCCTAATGGTTCAATACCAATAACAATCCAATAACACTTCATATACTGGCAATCCTCCATACTAGGGTATAATGGTAATACTACAGTGTTTAATTATCAGATAATTAGTCATTTCTAGATAGCATGGACTTTTCTGGTTTAATAAATTTTAAATGTGCATCATATAGCACAACCCGTAACTATAGGTACTTAATAAGTACTTTTCAGCATGGTGATTCGGGAGTTATGATTACTAGGTGACCAACCAAATAAAGACAACCCAAATGAAATACTGATGTGCTTTAATTCTGTCAAGCTTATATTGATCCTTTCCCCCCTTCTGTATCTGTCATCAAGATGAATGATGGAAATTGTTCCATAATTAATAAAAATGAACAGTGTCTTTATCCTTAGAAATCTGAATTTCTCTATCATACTATCTTTTTCCAAAACATTCTTAGGAGATGCTCTTTTGATTCTTACCAGGGTAGCTGAGCAAGTTCTCACTTATGATTTGTATTAATTGCTCTACTCATTAACACTCCTGAAAGAGCGTGCATAAATTCAAAGACATGTTTTTTCAAACTTGTGGGATTTCACTGAAACCAGTGCTCAGCTTGAGTTTCCTAAGCACTCACATCAAGATTTCTGCATCCCAAGTCAAACTCGTTTATTTGCTAATGAAGAAATGTTTATGTGGGCAGTATTTCAACATGGAATAATTGCTAATGAACACTCTGGGAAGCTGGCCTGAGCTCCCTCCTGGATTTTTCATGCCATATCTACATGGCCTTCATTATGGCTACTGTACACGAGTGAGGTACAAGGAGTTGGGAAAGCAAAGATCAAGCAGCGAGGGAATCAAGAAAAGGGCACCGCCCACTTCAGCAGATACCTATCTACCTAGTGCAGAGAGAGCTTTCATGTTCAAAGGGAAGAGTCTGACGCTGAGACAGAATGCCAACTGGTGCAGCTCCCCCTCTTTTAAGAGTCCTTTATAGTTCAGTTGCTGACTTAAGTCAGGAAACAACTTACGGTTCTGAAAGTGATATTAAGGATACAGATAAAGTAGGGACCCAGAGACTAGAGGAAATAACACAACTTTTTGCCAATATGACATTTAATGTATGTCTATGGTGGTTATAATTTGATAAGAATATTAAAATAAGATTTTCTTAAGAGGGATCCTGAGGTTTCTTGAAGCCTACCCAGGACTGAATTCTGTCACATTCTTAAGGATTCCCCAAGATTTCATATAGGCATTTTTTTTAACGTTAAAAATAATGGAAATTTTTCAGCAGATTTTTTTTTTTTTTTTTTTTTTTTTGAGACAAGGTCTCATTCTGTGGCTTGAGCTTACAACTCATGGTTGTGACCATGGCTCACTGTAGCCTCAACCTCCTGAGCTCAAATGATCCCCCTGCTTCAGTCTCCCTGGTAGCTGGTACTACAGGTGCATCTAATTCTTTTAATTTTTTTGGAGAGATGGGGTCCCAACTCCTGGACTGAAGCAATCCTCCTGCCTCAGCCTCCCAAACTGCTAGGATCACAGATGTAAGCCAACACACCTGGCCAGAAGATTTTATTTATAAGTAACTATATGCCTAGAAATACTGACGAACAACAATTTTGTGAATAATCATGAAAATATGCCCATAATTGATACAAATGAAAAGTGGCTATATAATTGTAAGACAAAGCCATAAATAAGGTAA